TGCCAAGTCAACTGGAAGACTCTCATTCACTGCTCTTGTTTGGAGCACATGAGACACAGGCTGCCACTTATCTGCGATAATATGCGCAGTTACAGTGAAATAAGATCCTGTGTCAATGAGTGTCCACGCAGCACGTTACAGCTATCCTACTCGTTTTCTTCAGTGATTCTACAACTTCGGTTTTGGTCTCGTTGTAGAGAGTGAGGGGGGGGTCGCTGTGTCAGTAAAATATCTTCAAGATGGGACGCTGTTTCTCAGCTCCACAGTGTGCAACACAGCACGAAAGCCCTGGTTCTCAGCGACTGAGTACGGATGCAAATCTTTGGCAATAAAAGTTGAGATAGAGTTTATAGCTTGCTTCATCCTTTTTGATTTGGGTGGAAGCTCAGACATGGCTTGATCGACGGTTCCCTGGTTGGCAGCAACTACAACCGGGTGGAAAATGGGTGGAAACATGCAATATGCTCCACAGAAGCCAAAGTGCTTCCATACACTAGCTCAGGGGTCGGCAACCTGCAGCTCCTTTACTGGCCTGGTGTGGCTCCACATCAGAATTAGATTTGTAGGTAAAAATGAAATAATCCTCCTTTACAGTAAAATAAATCTCTGCTGATCGTTCAAACACAGTTTCAACAATAAATGTTCTTAACAGCTGGAAATAATGTAGCCTGTAACTGCTAGTTCACCTAGCTAATAGCTAACGAAAGGGCAATCAGAAAGATTTAAGACAAACCTCGATAATTTGGAGACGAATAGACTTATTTGCATTTATAATCACTCCAGCTGGTTTCCTGATACATTTAATCTGCAACGAGAAACTGTCAAACACAAACATGAAACTGAAGTCAGCTTCTCATTCACCAGCTTCTTGTTTGAATTTACCCGTTCCACCTTAAATGGTGCAGCAGTTACATTCTGGCGCCTCAGGTTTCATTTAAGGTGGAACGGGAAAATTCGAACAAGAAGCTGGAGAATGAGAAGCGACTTCAGCCTCGTAAAAAGGAGAACATTGAGAGACATTTTTACAAGAAACTGTTCTACCTTTGTGGAAAGGTTTCCTGCTGGTGATGCAAGAAAAGCAGCTACAGCTGAGCTGAAGCTTAAAGCAGAGCAAAGTAAGTCTGCGTTTTTGTTTGTATTAGATTTTTACCCTACACTAGGACATTAGCATGTACTGAGGCACATGTACAGCCAAAATGGTAAAATGGACTTAAAATGTTGTGGCTCCCAAGGAGGTTTGACTTTTGTTGAAAGGACAAAATGATATTAACATTTGGGTTGCTGACCCCTGCACTACTTTTAATGTAGTGTGCACACCACAGACTGTCCAGGCGCTGCACTTTTGCAAAGTTCCGCCTTTCGCGTTCCATCAACATTACGTTATCAATTAAAATTTAGAAAATCGATTTTTGACATTTGTGAATCGATTCAGAATCATCCACATCCACATCGTGATGCATCTAAGAATCGATTTTTCCCCCCATCCCTAGTAGGGACCTATGGAGATCAATTTAAATGAAACGTTGCATACTTCCTCAGACAATGGTTATGTGCATTTTATCACAATCAGATAAAAAGTCATGGATTTATTAGCCCCTTATGACAGAAAAAGCCAGGCCAAACAAATTGAGTGGTGTCTAGAGGCCATTCTGTGCATTAAGTCAAGATTTTTCAAATAGTCATTTACCTTGCATCTCCACAGATAAATTCAAACTTTGAGCAACTGACATTTGTGTTAGGCCTGCTGTCAAAATGTAAAATGCTGCTCTATAGCACCACCATCAGGCCAACTGTCCTCAAAGCGTTTGCCTGAGTAGTGGATATAAAACTACACCTATGCACCAAATTTGGTGTGTGGATGACTTAATTGTCTACCCTACAAACTTTTTTAGGGATGTAAAAGTAGTAAGTCTCAGTTTCAATATTTAATATGTTGTCTTTGTACTATTTTCAATTAAATATAGGGTTTAATGATTTTCATGTCATTGCATTCTGTTTATTATTCACATAATAAACAGCATCCTAACTTTGCTGGAAACAGGATAATGTTTGTCACAATCTGTGTAATCATTTTATTATGCTGTGTCATAATATGTCGATGCTGTATTTGTGTCTCTAAACAGACAAAGCATCAACATAAAGCAACTACCAATACTATTATATTAAACCCAACTAATATTTTGTCAAGAAACTACATATGATGTGCTGATGTACAGGGACTGCTGGGATTTAGTTTTAATTTCTACATTTTATTTTTCTCATTTTTATGTTTGCATGGTTTTAAGCGTTACTACTTTTCTTAAGATTGGCTGACGAGTATTTATTTACAACATTACAAATAGCATTTTGCAACACCATCTAGGGATGGGATTTTGGTTTTCCTGGTACCGAACACTCAGTTTAACACACTCAAGTATTTAAAATAGGCAGGGGTGTAAAGAGTACTAAAAATCCCTACTCAAGTACAAGTACTGTTACTGTAGTGATAATTTACTCAAGTACAAGTAAAAGCATTAGTAAATAAAATCACTCAAGTAAGAGTAAATGAGTAGTTCATTAAAAACTACTTAAGTACTCATGTTACTTAGCTACTTTTCGTATTTCCACTGTCACAACCTGAAAATATTTCTGAGCTGACTTGGCTACATCACTGGAAATGATCTGTACAGAAAAACACTAAAGCAAAACATGACAATATGTGGGAAAAAGTTCTGAGAGCTGAGCACATTTACACACATTTCTGTGAACAGTGTAAGGAATGAGGCTTACATTAAACTGCATGCATTTCATGCTTAGATGATTATATAAGACGTCCTAGTTTATCTGTTTACAATAAAGTATTTTAGAATCCCTAAAAGACTGTGCAGAGGTTGTTACTGTTTAATTAGTTGTTCACTTAAGAGAAAAAAAGTCAAAATTATGAGTAGATTGCTTAATTAATAAGGTAATTTTAGTGAGAGTCCTGCTGCCCATCAGCTCCCTAGACTCTAGCTTATGTTAATAGGTGTGAACCTCTACAGACAGTAAACACACTCACAGCCTTCAAACTTTATATTTTCACTGATATCTGTTCAGACATTTCTACCATTAAAATCAGCAGCAACATCAGCAATTTACTCAGCTTTGATTTTTACTGCAATATATTTCACTTGTATTCATGCTGATCACTTCATACAGAATCAGCCATTATTACTGCATTAAACAGCTACACAGCCTTTCACAGTTAAAGACAAACACCAAGGCAGAGTGAGAGACAGTGAGAGACAGTGAGAAACAGGGGGGGCAAAGAGAGGAAGAGAGAGCAAGAGAGAGAGAGCGAGAGCGAGAGAGAGAGGGAGGAAGAGAGGAAGAGAGAGAGAAAGAGAGAGGAAGAGAGAGAGGGAGGAAGAGAGAGGGGGTAGGAAGAGAGAGAGAGAGAGGAAGAGAGAGAGAGAGAAAGAGAGGAACAGAGAGAGGAAGAGGGGAAGAAAGAGAGTGAGGGGCAGAGAGGAAGAGAGACACACAGAGAGAGATACACAGACAGAGACAGAGAGAGGGAGAGGGAGAGAGAGGGAGAGAGAGGGAGAGAGAGGGGACAGGGAGGTGGGGAGGCCAATCAGCCTAAATAATGTCAGCGTGACAGAATCACTGTCCAGAGTTGATGAAGAACCCGTATTAGACTAGATTACTTCTATCACAGCCGTTCACAACCGTTTATCTTCAACAGCAGCTAAACTAGGCTGTATAAACGAGTAAACTGCAGACTGTGGGCGACACCTGTTAACTAAAGCAGATGACAGGCACTGAAGCATTATATAAGACAGAAGAAAACCGTAAAAATGGTACCTGTTTAGCTCGGATCAGCTAGCTCGGCTAATGGTCCTTCAGGCTGGAGTTGAGTTGTGAAATTGGATCTCAGCAGGTTTCATGTTAGGCTGCTGATAATAACGCTGTTTTCTTTCGTTCATGTTAAATGAATATAGATGACCGTTTGGATGCAGTCTGTTCCTTGTGTGCTGGTTCAGTTCTCCTCTGTCCTTCTCCACTAAACTGGACATCTCTGTAGTGGTTTTCCTGTTGGAGCTGCTGTTTTTTGATGGTTGAATCTTTTCAATTTAACCGCCCTTCGTTCGTATTGGTTTCTGAGCTGATACGCTCATAATATATTTTTACTCTGTAACGTTATGAAAATTAAAGTAGCAAAGTAAAAGTATTTCATTAAAAATAAACTCAAGTAAGAATAAAAGTACTATGATTTAATTCTACTCCAAAAAGTACTGTTACAAGGAAAACTGTACTCAATTACAGTAATGAGAGTAAATGTAATTCGTTACTTACACCTCTGAAAATAGGATGAGTCCTTTTACAACAGGATTCAATTCTGTGAGAACAGTGACTGTGGTCTTTAAAGACCAAAACAAGGACCAGGGGGGAGGAGAGAACAAAGTATAAAGCTCTGTTTTAAGCTGCTGTTTTTAATTGGGTTTGAGGAAGATGTACAGCATGCTTCTACAATAAAATCATAATTTCTGCAAACCCGCTCTCTTGAACTCCAAACACCTTTTCTCTAGCAGAAGTTTCTAACTAGAATACTCTGGATGTGTGTGCCTCAACTGTTGCAAAGGATCAGACTGCAGGAGCTGGACAGGGCATAGTGAACAGTTTGGTTTGTTCTCTGGAAGAAGTTGTACATGAAACACAAAATCAATTTAGAGAGACAGCTCTCAAACGCTTACCCTCAGAAAATACAGAATGTGTTAATCAAGTCAAGCAGTCTTCAAGTGAAACTGAAAACCCTTTCACACAATTGAATTTGCAGTCAAAGTGAAGAAATGGTGCACTGTTAGTCCTATGGAGAGTACTTGGTGTTAGATTTGATAAAAGGAAAAACAAAACCAAGGAATGTATGACTAGGTTGTTGCAAATGACATGTTTGCTCATATCTCTGATACAAACATTAGTGATATGCTAAGGCTAACATATTTACCAAGTGATACTGCATATGGCAATTAAAAGGATACATCAAGAGCCATCCTCTTTTTGTAAAGAAAGAAATGCTTTCAAGATTCAGTTGTTTTATGATGATTTTGAAACTGCAAATACACTGGGATCTAAAAAAAGGCATACATAAATTGCAAGGTATTTATTTTACTTTTCACAAAAGTACAATTCATGTATGGTCAGTATATACTTGTGTGCTCTCTTCCACCCTCAAGATGTGAAGACTTATGGGTTTAGCTAGATTTTGAAACCCTTTTGTCAGAGATCTTAAATTCTTTGTCCCAGTTTTGGGTGGTGCATACATGGAACTGTTGTTCAAGTAACAGGTAATAACCTAGGTCTCCACAGCTTATTTGGCTTTGTTCACTGTTTTTGCTTTTGCCTCATGGATAAGGATGATCCTGATCCAGAGCTTAATGTAATACAGTTATGGTGTCTTTTGCGTAACATGCCACTACCGTTTGATGATCTGGTGTGGGTAAATGACCGTTACTGGCATCTGTTGTTGTTGCTGCTACAGATTGACAGTTTTTGCACCACTACTGACTGAGGGTAACACTGTCTATTTGAAACATTTCATCGTTGAACATCAAAAACCTTTAACCCAAACACCATTTCATGTTTCGCTATCCTCGTATACAAAACTTGGTCCCATTATTCATATTTGGTGTATGCAATTTGAAGCAAAACATTTGAAGATTTTTTTAAGAGACAACAGAAAAACTTCAAAAATATAACATCAAGCTTGGCCAGCATCACATGTCGTACAGCTGGTTCTATTTTAGCCAGAGTGAGCTGACATTTGGTCCAGGAAAAGAAATGTCATTGTCTAATTTCACTGCAGGAGGAGATCTAGCTCTAAAAATGAAAGTTTCACTCAACACCTGTGTGCTATCAGTCAAAGTACCATGGGAATAAATACTGTCCTGACTTAGTTGTTTGCATTGATGTTGTTCAAGAAATGCCTGTTTTCCTGAAAATGGACTGTATCATAGTGACAGATCAGCAAGTACTTTTAGTTGTTTTAGTTGTTGTTTCAGTGCTGCAGACCTTATGTTTCAAGGAGCATTTTCATGCATTTCAGGTTGCCTTCCCCAAAAAAAGAGTTCTGTGTTACTGATGTCATGGAGCTTGTGTACCACAGACCATTCGATTCGCAAATGGCTTATAAAATGGACGATTTCAGCTGGTTTGTTGTACCATACTGCCACTTTCTATGATTACTCTGAATTGGTGCAAATCAGTTGCAGATGGCAATTAGTTTTAGATGTTCAATTCTGTAATTTTTTTGTTTTAATTAATTTTTTTTTCATGTTATTTATGAATATATGCTGTTATATTCATATTTATGAATATGCTGTTAATTGTAGCCTTTGATAGTGCAGTGTTCAGCAAAATGTCTGTCAATTTTGGGGAAAGAAAAGCTAAAATAATTTTCCACAGATACTCTTCTATAGTATAGGAAAAAGTGACAGTCGATATATAACAGTGACTCAAAAAAAAAACAATATAAAAATAGAACTGACACTGGGGAGTAAATTTAAAATAACACTGTGTAGGGCTGTAAAAATATAAACACTGAGTTTTAATTTAAAATAACACTTTGAGAGTTATTCTACCTGTGGAGTAAAAATTAGTTAACACTGATGAGTGTTATATAAAGTTAATATATGATTCCAATAGGTGTTGAATTTACTCTAAATTTAACATTTTTATGGTAGAGTTATTTTTAGAAAGTGTTAAATTTAACTGTTTAAGGGTTAATTTAACTACACCTTGTACAAAATGCAGTAGAGGTTGATGGGTAAATCCATGACATAAATGTATAGCACCTGAATCAGAGAGGTTTTGTGTTCTTATGGCTCATGAGGTGTCCGTAATAACACAGATAAGGCAAACACTTAGTGTCTCACCCAACTTCTTTGCAGAGTACGATCTTTGAGCAGAAGAACTCATCCACTGAAGACTGAATAGGATCGCTATCAGGAAGCTCATGTGGAGGACTGTGGGAATTGTATGAGAAAGAGAAAATATTACCATTTAAATTTGATGTGACAAATGTGCAAATTCAGTAGGTTACATTTTATCATAGCCATCATTCTATCGTTATACTTATCAACACAACATCCCAGACAACAGACAGAACGTGACAGAGTAAACAAATCTTGAATCTTGCATCTAAAAACCCTGTGGGGTGCATAATATTATACAGTTGTTTGCGAAGGTTCAGGCATCTCTGCCCAAACTACATATTTGCTTGATTTCTGAAGATAAACACAACATTTGCAACAATTTTAATAAATACCCTTTTACTACAAAAGTTAATGCACATTTACTTTGCACTTAATGAACTTAAAAATACAAAAATGTTAGTAATTAAGACGTGCAAAAGTTTGGACACCTTAATAAGTCAGTACTTAGTAATACCCCATTAGTAGATATCACAGCTGTCTAACACTTTTTATAGCCCACTATGGGTCTTTCTGTTCCTGTCCCCGCAATTTTCACTCACTCTTCCTTACAGAACACTTTTACCTCTGTGATATTCTTGGGCTGTCTTGCATGCACAGCATGTTTCATTCCAAAAGCTACTTTTTTGAAGCAGTTCAAAGTGGATTTTGAGGTATGTTTTGAGTCATTATTTTGTTGTAGAAGAATCCATTCTTCCACTTACACATACAATGTTTCCTGTGCCACTGGCTGCCACGTAACCCCCAGAAAAGCTTAATAGATCTACCCCCATGCTTAACAGTTGGCAAGGTGTTGTTCTTATCAAATGCTTCTCCTTTTTTTCCCCAAACATTAAGTTCAATTTTTACTTCATCAGTCCACAGCACTTGTTCCCAAAATGCCTCTGGTTTATCTAGATATTAATTGGCATACTTCAGCTATCTACTTCTGGGATGAAATCATAGATAAAGTTTCCTTCTGACGACTTTTCCATGCAGATCTTGTTTATGCAAGCAGCACTGCATGGTAGAAAGGTAAACCACCACTCCTGTGTTCCCTAACCTTCCTGCATTTCTTTTGCGTGTCCTTTGTTACAGGGGTTTGGCTTTGCCTTTCTGGACACAATCCAGCAGTTCTATCAGAGTTTTCTTGATCTTCCAGATCTTACCTTGACTTCCACACTTCCCCTTAACTGCCATTTTTTAAGGCAATTTTGGACAAGCTTGAAGCTCTTTTTTAGCCTTCCCCTGCTTTCTAGGCCTTAATTATTCATTTTTAGATCCTCAGCCAGCTGCTCAGAGGATATGGTTGTTTTGCAATGCCACAATGCCTTACCAATCGTCATGAGTCAGTTAAGGGCTAACGTGTTCTGAGACTTTATAACTGGGTATCCAAACTTTGGACATGCCACAATTGCTATTTTATTTCATTTATTCATTAAAGTAAATAAAATAGAAAGTAAATATGCTACAACATTTGCAGAGCCACAGAGATTAAAATATAATTCGGCTGGAGGAGCCCAAATTTTCCATAAAACCGTTTATCATAAATTTGTTCTTGGCATTTTTTTTGTAATAATCACATATAAAAGGTACAATACACAAATGTAATATCTAGGCTACTGGTTGAACACACATAAATAAATAACACTTTAATAAGTTATTTGTGCCTATAATATCACATGATGTTAACTTTCACATTAAGGACCTTACAGAAACGAGAAAAAAAAGTATCATTTGAGGGATGAACAGAAGCCAAACCAGACTATTAATAGATCACTTTAATATCCTTTTCATCACTGGACTGCCTAATGGACCTTACTTTAGTCAAGGTGAAAAGGAAATACTACAGAAAGAGCGCAGTGTTAACCATCAATGAGACAAGACAATGTAAACACTCATAATTTCAGAGAAGATATCATAGTAGATCACAATTAAAAAATTTTTCCAGTGTATGTTTAATCCATTTTCTGCAATAAAAGGTAAATACATGACTGACAATTAGGGACGCATCGATACTGATACCAGTATTTACTCATACTTGGCCTCATAAAAATGCACTGATACTAACATCCTGTACCAGGCGATACCATGTGACGTAAATACAGTGTAAAATGCCATGTTAATGAACTACTTCAGTAAGTACTGAGCAGTGAACGAGGCTCTGCTCACACAGAGAGCTGACTCCGTGGCGGTCAGACACAAAGCTGTCAGTCACTTTAAACATTCTGCCTTGGCATATTCCCACCAGGAATCCTGCGATTTTAGCCTGTTTTTAAATACACACAACAACCACCGCTTCCCCAATACGCGTATGCTAGCCAAATGGAGGCAAAAAAAAATAAAAAAATGCTACCAATGGCCATATATGCCAACTTTACTCTGTTTGACTATATATAAAACAAAGTACATACAGTCATATGGTTTTTGTAAAATATACTGCAGAGAGACAGTATTGTCCTACCATGTATTTTTCAGTGTGGTTAGCTGAGCTGCTGTGGTTAGCCGAGCTGCAGTTTCTCAGCATGTCTGCTCAGTACTTGTTGCACACTGTACACACTGCATTTCATGTACTATGGACCAAGCGTTCTCGTGAGTATATATAAATTGTAGGCTTTGTACACAATGATCTGTTCAAACATACAGTTGAGGGTCTAGATAACAAGATTTTAAAATCGAACAGTGTATAACTGGCTTTAGAGGACATTCAATTACAGCTCAACCAGTCAGAAAGAGTTCAATGACATGACACGTGAGCTCCCCGGATTAGCTTCAGATGTGATTCCTGCTGTCACTGTACTACAGAGTCTGCAGCTTAGACAGGTAAGAAGCATGGGAACAAAACTATACAGTTACATACAGCTGTACCAAAGCACTTTTCTGATGTGGAACAAAACCTGCTCTTCTTCACTGCAGCGCTATTCAATCCAGGGTAAATAATGTAGCACAGCTAGCTAAGGCATATCATTTAAATCAGCTAGATTTTAATTATTTAACTGTTTAAGGTACATTGCACTCATTTACATTCACAGCTACTTAATTCTCAGTAAGTAATTTATTATGGTATCAGACTCAGTATCACCATGTACTAAACATGCATTCGTACTTGGTCTGAAAAAATGGTATCGATGCATCCCTACTGACAATACTTTTCGTTCTTTATAGCAGTGATACCCAGCCTTGCTTTTGGAGATCTACTAACCCTGCAGAGATTTGCTGTAACCCTAATCTAACAAACGAGAACAATTTAAGCGGCCAAAACTTTTGAACATTAGAGGCAGGTGTATTCATGTGGAGTTGGACCAAAGTTTTATGAAATGACTCATAAAATGCTCCATAAACAGGTTTGGGTTGCTCTAAACAGCTCAAATTAAAATTTTCAGCCAACTGAAGCATCTGACTGACTGCTTTGAAAACTGTCAATGGTCACAACATTCACACAGCTTTGAAAACTGTCAATCAGATGCATAAGCAGTACCATCTTTGCTTACTTACTAACTTAAAGATCTATCTTAAAGGCTTTTCCTAAGTCTAAACTATTTAGTAATCAGTTACTGAACTACAGATAATGTTTATCGGTGTTCAAAATACCATTCCTCTCACTCTTACTTGATATTTATGGTCTTCTGAAGGAGCTCCTGGAAACGGGATGGACAACACCAGTTGGTGCAAAAGCTCTCCTGAATAGTTGACATCAGGTTTTCCAAGTTCTTTGTGAAATTCTCATGCTCATTGCCAAAAAGGTCAATCTCCAGAGCTGCTTGATTGATCACTGAGCGGTACTGTCGCTTAGACATCCTGTCCCAGATCCAAAGCATCTTGACCGTGGTGTAGTCATAAGAGTCCATCAGATACAGAAAGTATTCCACAAACTGCTTACCCAAGAATAAGCCCACTTCCCGGCAGAAGGTGTGATTGTCGCGGAGAATGACATACAAGAGCATGAGGAAGCCATCAATTGTACAGGTGTTTTTCAGACTGATTTTAACATACAGTGGAATGCAGGAGATTGCTTTTTGACCAGCCCTGATTGTGTACACACCTCCCCAAGGTAGAACAGGCCTCCAAAAGGAACAATACTCATCACTGCTGTTCTTGATTAAAGCACGGATCTCTTCAAACAATGTTTTGGTCCTGTTTGGAAAACATTAAATGCATGAAACAGGTCAAATTACACTAATGCAGTAAGTATATTTAACTGTGATTACTGAGAGTATTATTATTCTGTAAAATAATTTGCACACAAACAAACAATTATTTTAAATTGTAACATTCAAGCTTGGAAAAGCTCAAAAAATTGTGACAAATGGAGTGTTTATTTGCTATACAAAAAATATTGCTTTGTGTCTTCTCCTAGATCAAACACAACATTTGGAGCCAGTTGCACCAGCTGAATGTGAACTAAATCGTAGCTTAGTTTTAATGTCATCTGCCTCTACATACAAGTTTCAAGCTACTGAAATTTACACAGTTGCACCAAGTAACAGTTTCAACGTAGCCTTAAGTTAATTGACCTCTACTCATTAGTAGGTGTAAACTGCACTTTGCATGCTAAATTGTCATTACATTTGTTTCCAGCCCTGTCACAATTATTACATAATCACCTGGTCACATTTATTTGAGCTGATCACAATTATTTGAGCTGACCAAAATAATTTTCCACAGCTGTTCACCTTCACAATCTTCATATTCATGGTTCTTCCCAAAACAAGTTTAATAACATCCGACTAGTGTTGCCACCTTTAGAGGGCATTGGTGAGTAATGTTTATTTAAGCTTGAGCAGTTTCACAGCAAGGGTGGGTTATATGGCAAGTATAATACCATTGTACTTACAATGCAAAATATTTATCACGTTATATATATTTTTTTATTTGCTTGATAAGTTAACACATACAAAATAAGCTCTATTAGTGCCACATTTAAAAAAAAACACTATCAAAAAGTATGAAAACTATAATCTGATTCACTGTTTCACATACTGAGCTGCACCAAATCCAGTTAAACAGGACTAAATATGATGCAAGGTCCAAGCTGTCTTCGCAAGTAGGCCTTATATTTTGCAATTTTGGTTATGTCCCTCCTTGGGTACGTCAGTAAAAGTTCGGGCATACATATGAAGTTCAATTGTAACTGACCAATGTTAGGTCTTTGAATCCCTGTGGCACTTTTATTAAACATGTTTTTGCAGATCTCAGAGCCTGATTCAGGATAGGACAAAGTAGTTGCATGAACAAATTTTACAACAATCTTTCACTGTATAACATTTTTTGGCTAAGAGATCATTGAGATGGAGTACAAATTATTAACTTAAACTGTTCTGGTAACTTTGGCTGCCTTTTATTTTAAAATACTGAAGTAAAAGGACTTCATCTGTGGTTTCTGCAGAGCATGACAGCCTTGATGAAAATCTATTGCTTGTTGCTTGTTTGCTCACTGGTAATAGTAAGTTTATAATGTTTTCAATTTGATTCATGAGACAACTGGATGGAGTGCAAAACACTAAATAAATGAACTGATTTGGTAACTTTGTCTGCAAATTACTTTGACATATAGCAGAAGATGGACAGAAGATGGATCTTTGATACGTTTGTGGTATGACAGACTTTGGATCAAAATGTGCAGTTGATTTTGTCTACTCACTGATGACAGTCATCGTACAATAGGCTGAACCTGAATCATGAGTCAATCAGATGGGGTACAAATGAACTCATTTGGTTGACTTTGGCTGCCAATTACTTTAAACGCTGCAGTAAAAGGACTTCATCTTTAACATGTTCATAGTAGGAAAGGCTTTAAACCAAAATCTGCTGTTTTGTGGTCGACTTATTGGTAAGTCATATTGTAAATTATTCAGTTTGACTCATGAATAAATTAGATGGGGTTACTATCTTCATGAACTGATTTGGTAACTTCAGCTGAAAATCACTTTCACATTTTGCAATAAAACTCATCCTTGGTTTGTGCAAGGATTGTGGCAAACACTGAAGCAATATTTCTTGTTTCCTGGACTATGTATTAAAAATAATAATAATAATATTAATAATAATAATTATTATTATTATTATTTTATAATGTGATGAATTTGCAAATATGGTCACCATGTGGAATTACTGTTTTAGTGCCCTCTATCAACATATGTCCACTTAACTTTGCACTGTGTTTCAACATGAGACATTGAGCAGGTATACAAAGTTTGGTGTCAATTGGACAATGCATTCTCATCATTGCACTACAGTCCTGAAAATGTAAATAAATCATAATGTTTGACTGCTTGTACAACTTAGTCAAAAACATATATGATCTACGGGCAAAGTTATTCATGTTGCAGCTACTCTGTCTTTTGAAGAAAAACAATAAAAATTAACTTGATGAAGCTGTCAAGTCCATTTATTGCATTATTTGATCCCAACTGCATTTTATAACCTTAATGGTATAAGTTATATATATATTCATTTTAGTGTTTTATAACGTACGTGAGTGGTGCCCCTGTGGCCAGTACCTATCATATTATCATATTATATCACATACCTTTCAATTAGTACAGAGTCCAAACCTGGAAATACGTATCAAGTTTCATGGTGATTGGCCAATTCCAAGGCTGTCAAATACCTGCTGAAATCTAAATGCCAGGTTTTTTCATATATGACATCAGTCTCTTGGTTGCTGACCTAGAACAGCACCTAGTAGCATGCAAACTTTAATGTCAATTGGGCAACAACCTTTGGTTGAGTAACATTTTTTGCTTCTTATAGCACTACCTAACGATGCAGTTCCACCAAACTTTGAAGATCATCTTCAAGTCCCCTAGGGTACATGCGTGTGAAGTTTTGGAACAATCAGTCAAAGTGTTTGAGTCAGAGCTGATTAGATTAGAAGCATGATTTTTGCAACATGAGCTCGACCCATATTTCTGGGTGGGGCCTGAACGCTACACACTGTTGAACTTCCTAAATTTTTTTGATAATTATTGAAGTTTAGATTCTTCAAATTCTTTTGACATCAAATTTGTGCAGCTTGGCTGAAAACCCAGGGTCTAGTTTACGCAAAAAAATGTGTGCGATTTTGCATAAAATCTTTTGCCTTTTTTGGGCCATGAGACAACTAGTCAAGTCAAGTCAAAGTTTATTTATATAGCACTTTTTACAACAGGCATTGTCGCTAAGCAGCTTTACAGAAAAAATCCAGGTCCAAACCCCATGAGCAAGCCAATGGCGACAGTGGCGCAGAAAAACTCCCTAAGAGCAAGAGGAACCTTGAGAGGAACCAAGACTCAAAAGGGGAACCCATCCTCCTCTGGTCAACACCAAATAGAAAACACAAGAGCAAAATGAACAGAGGATGTTTTAATGTTAGTATAAAATATTAAAATACAGAAAAGGGAAAAACAGGTGAAGCAATGGCTATGATAAAATAGTTCAAGTCTGTGCAGCAGTATCATCAGAAGGGTCAGTTCACGCAGGTGAGGTTTGCACGGCATTGTATAGCGGGAAGCTAGTTGGTGGCCAAACTGGTCCAGAAAACTGGCGAGCAGTGGGCACACGATCAAGGCAGAAAAAGCAACAGCATCAGACCACACAGGATGGGCAGCTGTACAACTCAGCAAAGGAAACACACAGAGACTTCTGTTAAGGGTCACTGATTACAGGTCTAGCTATTACAGCCTAACTAAAAGGGAGAATCAGAAAGGTAACAGAGACATAAGTGCTCCGTGAGATGTCAGCGCCCCTCCGCTCCACCATCAACAAACTTGAGTGAACACGAGAGAGCAGCAAAACAACAGCACCAACTCTCCCAGCTTACCATAATACTCTATGTCCCTGAACCCCCAGATCTGCATCTTTTATCTAACAGGAAAAACAAATTACCAAAGGCTCGACTAAACAAGTAGGTTTTTAGCCTAGACTTAAAGACTGACGCTGTGTCCGATCAGAAGAAATTAGAAGAAGGAAGAATTTTGTCTCTATGACATACTAGGTAGGAATTATGACCCAAAAGTTTAAAGCTTCACTGTAGCACCACCATCTGGGTGATCGGGCTGAGCTCATGTGCCTGCGTAGTGGGAGGGACTACTATCTATTGACCAACTTTCATATCTGTACCACTTACAGCTTGGTCTGCATGAATCATTTTAGCAGAGAAAAAGAAGAAGAAATATCCTAACAATTACAATAGAGTTCCACCACTTCATGCTTGGACTGTAAAATTCCAATAGCGTTCTTCACACAGTGTGTATGAACCCTAAATATGATTTCTAGACGTTTGTGTCAGAATAAGCCAGACGAGACTGACTGATTCATATCTTGCAGCCATGCTGTGCTGAAAAATAACTGTCAACCTTGTGACTTTCCTGGTTATTTTTAAGACCAAGTTTGATAGGATATAATTAAAATCCAATGAGTAATATAAAAAATCAGTTTTTAAACTTTGATTATTTGCTGGAAAACAACAGAGACGAAAAGAAGAAAAGACTTGTATTTGCAAAAATTGTCAGAAAAATTGTCAAAACATTCAGAAATACTCTTTACCGAAGATAAACACAGTAAAGCCATTAAATGATTGTAAATTTCAAGACTGCCAGTTGCAGTTACTGATGTGGCTCCCTCCCTCCCGCTGGGAACACGTGATTCTGTGATCAAGATTTGCTCAAATCAAATAACAGGATTTCCTGAAATATTAAGCTACATACATATATTTGCAAAGTGTTAGGGCTCATTAAGATGGGTAATTTGAAACAATTTTGTGTCTTTATTTTAATCTCAGACAGAAATAACGACATTTTAGACTGGTGGAAGTACACTGAGCATTCTAAGAGCCAACTTAGCAGATTCAAGCCCATTTTTATACAACCCCATTTCCAAAAAAGTTGGGACGCTGTGCAAAATGTAAATAAAAATAAAATTTAATGACGTGCAAATCATTTAAACCCTATGTTTAATTGAAAATAGTACAAAACCAACATATCAAATGTTGAAACTGAGAAATTTTATTGTTTTTTTTTTTTTTTTAAATATATATGCCCATTTTGAATTTGATGCCAACAACATGTTCCAAAAAAGTTGGGATGGGGGCATGTTTATCACTCTGTTTCACCACCTCTTCTTTTAACAACACTCTGTAAGCATTTGGGAAGTGA